GTTGGCTGCTATGGGGGCTGGGCTGGAGGAACAGCAGGCGAGGCGGCTCGGTGCACCTGGCTCCCCACCCCAGTCTCGCCGGCGCGCCCGCACGGCGCCCCCCCATGCCTTCTCCACTCAGCCCGGGGCCGCCCCATGGGGCTCACTTGTGGTAGGGGTCCAAGCCGTCGGCCCACGTGTTGATGATGCGCGTGTTGCTGCCGGCGTACCACGTCAGCCCGATCAGCAGCTTGCTGGTGACCGTGAGGGCGCCGGTCTTCTTGTTATAGCTCCTGCGCCGTCAGGCGGGGTTTAGGGGGCCGGGGCTTTCAGCGCGAGGAGCTTCTTCTAGGGCTTACAGACTGCCTGATTGTGGTCGGGGCTTGGGAGAGGCCAACGGGGGGATGCAGGGGAGGGGCCGCAAATGCTGCCTTGCCGCCTCGATCCCGCCCATCGCCGCATTAGTCAGGGCGGGCGTCTGCAAGGTGTTGCGGCAGGGGTGGTCGCGCGCACCAGGACTGGAGGGTCTTGACGGTGTAGGCGCACTGGCCCCTGTCGTTGCAGCGCCGCGTGGAGAACTCGACCTTGTTGGAGCCCAGGCTGGTGTAGCGCGGGTTGCCTGCACGGCACATGGAGCGGCGCGGGTGGACGGCCCACGGATGGAACAAGCTCAGATGGGAGATGGAACCGGCGCTATTGCGGGCACTGCAGGGAGGGCGTGTGGCAGTCACCTGCAGGGCCGCAGCGTCGCCTTTGCACAAATCACGCCCCCTTGCAAACAACATCCATCCATCCGCCTGGGAGGGGCGTGCGCCGCGCGCGCCCGCCCGTGCGGCTGCGCCCCCCTGCCCCCCACCCCTCGCCCGTGCCGCCCACCGTTGTTCTTCTCGAGGGATGACGCGTTCCAGACTTCGGCACTGGTGTTGCGCGTGAACCCCGGGTTGTCCTGGCCCCGGGTGGCGCATGAGAAGTTCCAGGTGGTGCCGCTGCTGGTCTCGGAGCAGCCAGTGAGGGGGAACTCCACAAACTGCACACAGTAAAGGGGAATGGTGCGTTAAGCCAGAGGATCGGTGGGAAGAAAGGACTGCAAGCACTAACGCGATTTGCCGCACACAGGGGATCAAGGACCGCCGCACATGGACCGGGGTGCCAGGGAATGAGTGACGCGCCCATGCAGCACAGCAGCACTAAATTGTCCTTGTGACAGGGGGGTGAAGGAGCCACCCACCCGGTTGTACGACCCTGACTTTGCAGGCAGGGGGGTCATGCTGTTGTTGTGGGCACAGTGGTCCCTCGGGTGGCTGCGGGCATCGGCAAGGCGGCGGCGGGGCGCGGTTGTCAGCGGAGTGTGCCGTGCGCGCAACACATCGGCGCCCCGCCGCGGATACCCGCCCGGCGGCGCGATGCAGTCGGACGAGCGACTGGGCGGGGCGAACAGGATGCCGGGCGCGAGCATGGCAGTCACGGGTACCAGGGCCAGGGCCGGCGCAACGTGCTGGTGGAGACGACTGTTGTGAATACTCACAAGAGGAGGAACATAGGGTAGGTCTTGCCGTCCACAGGAGATACCTGCGTTTCGGGGGGCGGCCGGGGCCAAGCCAGGGCAACCACCGTCAAGCGTGGCGGGCTCGCGCATGCCGCGCCGCCTGGGGCAGGCTCGCTCCAAGGTTGCAGCCGATCATGCGCGCGCACGGCGTGTCGGCCCCCTGGCCGCCCGCCGCTGCGCCGTTGAATCTCACCGCGGTCCCTGTGGCGAGGTTTTGGAACATCCACTGCATCATTTTGGCCGTGATGTTCGTAAAGGGCTGAGATTTCAAGGGGGTGCAGGAAGCTTAGGTAAAAAGCATCGTCAGCTGCCGTGGTACCAAGGGCGATTGCATGGCCGGGGAGTGATTGGGCGCTCTGGGGCAATCCCGGCTGCTTCTAGCATGGGCAGAGCGTGTCATACTGTGCCACCGAGGGAGGCACGGCTGCAACCCATGCGGCCAGGGATCCATCCCGAATCGTCGCGTGTGCGCTCTGACCTTGTGAACGACTGTGAGCTGTATGGCACCAGAGCCGTATGTCTTGAACGATACCTGCGGCCGCGCGTCAAATGCGGCGCACGTGAGGGTGCAGGCCAGACGGCGTCCAACCGCGGGCGCGGCGGCCTGTGCTGCGCACGCTGCGCTGCTTGCTGGCGCTCTGCGGCCCAACTGCAACCGAGCTGGGGCCACCGCAGCGGCCGGCAGCCGTGCGGACAGCAAACGGAGGCAGCAGCAGGGGCGGTGGCAGCGAGGGGCCCAACAGCAGCCTTGGAACCGTCAGCAGCACGCGCACCGTCGAGTCATCCAGCACTCGGTATTGAGGAAGCGGCGGCCTGATCTGAGGCAAAAAATCCTGCTGAATCGGTGGCGGCGTCTTCTTGAAGGTGTTTTTGTCCTGCGCCCCGACGGCCGTGATGGAGAGCAGCACCAGGAGCAGCGCCGCCGCGCTCAGTGTGTGCGCGGTGCCCTGAGGGCCGCGCATCGTGGCTGCCTGCAGGGCGCCAAGGGGCGGGTGACGTGGGTCGCGCTGGATTATCTATGAACTATTTGAACGAAGGAACCGGGGTGAGGCTTGATTCGAGGGCACGGGGACACCCGCAACCACGCGCGGTCACCCTGTGCGCGCGGACTCACTTGCGAGTCGAACCACGCAGGAGTAGCTGCGCGCAAAAGAGAAGGTTTTTAGCACGCTTCACAAACCAAAAAGAGAGCCCGGGACACAGCAGCCAGCGGCCTCAGCGGCAGCGCATGCAAGGGAAGGGCAGGGGAAGCTGACTGACTGCCGTTCGTCAAGCACAGCTGTTGGGCTGACCACCTGGTTGCGCCACGCCCGGCACCACGACACACATGACACACAGTTCAAGGCATGTGCGGTGCTTTTTGCGGATCCGGGAACATGATTCGGTTGATCGAACCAAGGCCGCTGGACCCAAAATGCACTTGCAGGGGGTAACTGGGCCGGTGCAGCGACCCCAAGGTCGGATTGGGCACCGGCCCTGCCATCAAGAAGCACACAGTAGAGTACTCAAACAGCCGCCAGTGCTCTAAGGAATTTGCGGTTGATTGGTAGGAGCAATCCCCCAATTGTTTCTCTCTGTTTAACATTGGGTCCTACATAGTCACAGGGGTCGAGAGGGAGGAGATGTCGGCATGAGTCTGACACGCTAGTCTGCGTCACCAGGGAAATCGGGGCGTGGGCGCATATCTATATGCAGCCGCCAGTGGCTCTCGCCCGTGCTGCGCTTTTCCCCCGTAGGTGCCATGTGCGGCCAAGGAGGTTCGATTTGGTGCCGCCTGAGCAGGCAGCACCTCAGCAGGAGCAGGACTGCACATCTGAAGGCTGCATCTAACTCACGTCCTGCAGGCGCTGGCTCAGCAAGTTCCAGCCTTGAGCACCATGGTTTACACAAGGGGCAATGACAGCATTGTGCTGTCAGTGGTGATCAAATGTACGGACAGTCAAGAAGGTCAGGAAGGCATGCCATAGCCAGCAAGTTGCCTCACAAGGTTGCCTGTTTGAGCTGGATCGTTTCGTCCACGGTGTGCGTGTGTGTGTGTGTGTGTGTGTGTGTGTGTGTCAAGACGGGGTCAAATGGCTGTGCCAGGCGTCGTGCACGGCAAGCGAGGTTGGCTCTATGGCAGACAGGATGAAACAATGAGAGACACACAGGTTGCAATCCCATCAGGTTTGAGAGCTCCGCACCCGCCGCTCGGCAGGCTGCTCGCGAATATCGGCGGCCTACGCCGGGCGATCCATCGTTCATTTGCAAAGCAAGGCTGCAGCGAGGCACAGTTCTGAAGAGCTACCTAGGCGGCGCCTTCAAGCGGCCCCTGCAGACACCATCAGCACCCGTTCAGGCCGCAGTGTGCATCCAGAAGTCCAAGCGCCGGCAGCAAGGCCAACCCCACCCAGTGCACCACTGGCCCGTGCTCGGCCAAAGAGCGTGCCCGGCAAGATCGGCATCACGAAGTGCTCAAGTGGAAAGCCCAAACGCAGGAAGAGTTCGCTGGTTCTGTGCAAACCCATTTGAAATGGACCCTACACCCCCTTGGCGCGCATGTGCAGGGCGACCCTGGACTCCAGGAGCGCCACGGCCGCCCTAGCGCCAACAGACAACCTGCTGTCATTCAGAATGAGGTCCCAAAATTGCTGCCGCAGCCCCACAACCTGGTCGGCCTCGACTTCGTATGTCCAGAACAGCACGTCAAAGGCGCGGTTTATTGTTCCCCCTGCACCTGCCAGCCCCACCCCCATCTCAGCACACACCGCCTCGCGCGCCGCCACCTCTGCAGCGCTCACGCCGCCGCCGCCGCCCCCCGCCGCCGGTACTGCCTGCATGGCCCCCTGCGGCACGGTCCTTGGCACGGAAGGTGGTGGCAGCGGCGGCGCCTCCGTCGCAGGGAGATCCAGCAGCAGGGTGGCGGGCCGCGAGGCCCCGGCCCGGGGCGACTGGTGGGTGGTGAGGGGCGCGAGCAGCTGCTGCTGCTGCTGCTGCTGCTGCTGCTGCTG